GAAAAGCATTCTTAACATCCATCTAATAAAGAGGCCAATAACGAACAGTAGCAACAGAGATTAAAGTACGAACAGTATTCATCTTGGCCACAGGGGCAAAGGTCTCCTCATAATCAATACCATACTCCTGTGAGAAACCTTTGGCAACCAAGCGAGCTTTGTAGCGCTCAAGAAAACCATCAGAGTGAGTCTTGACTTTGTAGACCCATTTGTAACCAACCAGGTTCTTACCAGCAGGCAAAGGAACCAACTCGCAAGTACTAGTGTTCTGTAAAACAGACAACTCATCCTCCATAGCTTGAATCCAATGGGGATCCTGACAAGCCTTCTTGTAAGACTGAGGTTCTGAAAAAGAATGAATAGTACATAAAAAAGTACGATAGGATGCAGAAAAACATATATTAGACCAACCCAACCTGTTTAGAGGATGACTCAAGTAGGATATTGGTGTGTAACAGGATCAGAGTCGTCAGAAGCAGGAGGATTAGCAGTAGAAGTAGAGACAATTGGTGGAGGGAGAGCCTGGCGACGAGAATAAACTAACAACAGAGGAGGAGGAGGAGGCTGGGGAGAAGGAGGAGAAAATGGAGGAAGGTCATGGGGAACAGAAGAAATGTGTTCATCAAGAGAAACCTCAGAAGGAAATGGATCAATGTGAACTAAATCCTCTTTGGAAACTGGAGCAGTGATAGGAGGAAGCTGAAAGTAAGATAGACGTTCGAGAGAAGAAACATGACGGGAGATGTAAAGACGACGGGAAATAGGGTTGTAACATCGATAGCCTTTCTGAGTAAGACTATAACCTAAAAAGACACATAGGACAGACCGGGCACTAAGTTTGGTCCGATCTTTACGGGGAAGAAGGACAAAACAAGCAGATCCAAACACACGAAGGATGGAGTAATTGGGAAGTTGAGAGAACAGAGCCTCATACGGAGACCGACCAGAAAGAAGGGGAGTAGGCATGCGGTTAAGAAGAAAAACAGCAGTAAGAACTGCCTCTCTCCAAAACGAAGTTGGAACTGAGGCAGAGAGAAGAAGAGACCTAGCTGTCTCAAGGAGGTGACAGTGTTTATATTCGGCTCGACCATTTTGGACAGGTGTATTAGTATAAGAAGTTTGGTGAATTGTATCCAAGTTGGCCAAATACTCATAGAACTCAGTTTTAAAATATTTTCCACCAAAGTCAAATCGTAACAATTTAATGGTAGCCCCAAACTATGTAGTGATCATAGATTGAAATGTATGATATATTTTGTAGAAGCCAAATTTATGAGTCATTAGACAAACCCAAGTATAACGGGTGCAATCATCAAAAAAGACACATAGTATGAGGAACCCCCTTTAGTGAGAACAGGTGAGGGTCCCCAGACATCAATATGCACAAGAGAAAATGGAGAAACAGAAGCTGAAGTACTTTTATTAAAAGGTAAAGCTGACATTTTGACAAGTTTACACTCTCGACATTCATCAATTTGACTAAGAGAAACTTTACCCAATAATCATGACTGAGCTAAAGATCGTAAGCGGTCAACAGACAAATGACATTGGCAAGAGTGCCATAAGTAAAACTGACTCGACTGAGAATTTAATTGAAATGAGAAAAAACAACTGGAGAGGTGGATAGAGGGAGATGCAAGCTTTCTACCACATAGAGATCTCCAATTCTATGACCGGTCCCAATCTGCTTCTTAGACACTCGATCCTGCACACAACAGACAGAAGAGGAAAATATAACATCAAAACCAGAAGTATCAAGTTGACTGATAGATAATAAACTGACAAATAGCTGAGGAATATAAAGAACAGAGGGAATAGTAACAACAGACATGGCAGAGGGTAAGACAGATCCAACAGATAGAACAGGCATACTAGACCTATTAGCAGTATTAACAGTAATAGGAGAGGGAGGGGGGGAGACAGTTTTGAAGTAAGGAAAGGTGAGGAATCATATAATGAGAGGCATCAGAGTCCAAAAGCCAGACAGAAGAGGAGATACCTGAAGAGGACCCAAACAAACTTGATTGAAGAGAGGTGAGAGCAGAGGCAGATGAGGATGGCTGGGAGGTGGACAGGAGATGCTGAAGCTGAGCCATCTGGCACGCAAGGAAGCCAAGTCAGGATCAAAAGCTGGAGCAGATGCAGTATAAGCAGCAAGAGATTGAAACTGTGTCTGAGGCGGCTGAGAAGATTGAGCAGAATGACGTCCGTTCTTGGGACAGTTGTATTTCCAATGGTCCTTCTGATGGACAGGATTATACGAGGAGAATTATTTCCTCCCCGTACAAAAACAATGACATTTTATTTAGTAATAATATTATCTATTTATGAAATATAAAAGTTTGGCCTTTAACAAATAAAGAATAAAAAATTTTGGAACACAAATAAAGTAAAAAATAGTAAAAAATTGCTCTAAAATAGTTATATAAAAAAAACATAAAACAATGAAGCCCAAATCACCAAACTAATTTGCATCCACTCGTCAATCCGTATGACCCGTTCAATCTGTATCCGCTAATTAAATGGATAGATACAGATTATTTTTTCCAATCTGCCTAAATTTAAATGGATGATGAATGAGAGGCCATCTGACTAACCCGTTGATTGAGCACCCATATCTGTAACCTTCAACTTGGAATATGAATACCTCACACCTGATGGTTAAGATAGAACATTGAAATTGAGGTGGTCGCTTAGCGTGAAACAAAAGCATTGTCCAGCTTTAACCTTTCGGTCTGGAAGAATATTTGAAACCAAATTTTTAAGTTTTTGGGCTCGATGGTAAAGAATGTAATGCAGTGATTGCCGAACTGGTGAGGTAAACATAATTGGATCTTGAGAAGGATTAGAAGGAGGAAAAGTGATACTTGAGGAATATTAGAGAGGTGGGGGAACCACTGCCGTCTCTCTCTATCTTGGTAGGAAATTCTAGAGAGAAAAGCAAAAGAGATTTTTGTATGTAACTAGTAGTTATTGAAAAAGTGTAAGTTTATAAGTGATTGAGAAGACCTTATAATGATAGTTTAGAGATTTATTTATACGTTTTTATAGTTTATAGATAAAGTCATACTTCTCAGTAGTTTAAAGAATCAATTTGTAATTTAAGGTGTCAAAATAATTTTTTTTAATAATTTAAGGAGTCTTCATGTAAATAATAATTGATTTTTTTAGTGACTTTTCGACTTCTACAAAATGACATACAAAAAAATAAAGAAAATGTGTTAACCTTTTGTAATGACTTTTTGACTAAAACCTCATATTCTTAAACAAGCTCGCACTTTGAAAAAATTATTAGTGACCTAAAAATTTTATAATGTTCTTCCCCATCACCATACTTATTATTTTTCAAGACTCAATACAAAATGATGAGCTTCACTTGGAATTGAGGATCCTGCTATAGCATGCTGTTGTAAGGCCCTTTGAGGGGCATGTTTCGAGTCTTTTTTTAATGATTCAAACCGTTCATATTATAAAATTTGTTAAGCAGATTATTCATACAAAAAATAAAGTAAATTGGACATTTGTAATATCATAATACGAGCACATTTGTTTTTCAAAAAAATAAACGGTTACTATGATTTTAATAATTTTTTAAAAACAATTAGGACTTAATCATGGAGTTATAAATATCTGATTAATTTGATTTTTTATATAAATAATATATTTGACAAATCTTACGACACGAACAATTCAGATCATCAAAATATATTCAATAAATACCTCTACACACCTTCATAACAACGTTACTTTACCATAAGACCATCTCCAACGGTTCATCAAACCCAGCATCAAATTTAAAATTTGGTGAAAAAGTTACTCTTTAATGCTCCAACGGTTGCACCAAATCGATATCAAAATGAGATTTCACCAAACATGTCTTCAAACTGAGAACAGGCGAAGCATTTCACCAAATCACTGTTACTGACCGTTGGGTTGATACCAACTGGTCGACCAGCCGGTTGACCGGCCGGTTAACCAACCGGTCAACCAGTAAAAGATTCAAATAGTTCAAAAAAAAATTCAAACAGTTCAAAAAAAAAAATTCCCTAACCGGTCAACCAGTCGGTCGACCACCCGGTCGTCCCGGAAAAAGTTCAGAAAGTTCAACAAAAACGGTTCAAACAATTAAAAAAAAAAAAAAAAAATTTCACTCACCAGTCGACCACCCGGTTGTCCCAGGACAGATTTGGTGAAAGGTGAACCGTTGGAGTATCTGGTATCAAATTTGGTGAAATAAGTCACTTTTAACTCAAATTTAATAAAAAATCTGATTCACCGTTGGAGATGCTCTAAGACACAGCAGGAACCTCAACCCGCTTCACTTCTCTGACTCTCCACTTTAGCAAAATAAAAATACTTGAGATCATTAATTAATGATAACTTTAATGATATGACTGTCACAATGTTACCCTGCCTTTTTTTTTTATTTTTTTGAGATTTGTTCTTGTTAAAACTCTTCTGTTAGAGGTCCTAACACTTCAGTTAGCAAAAAGGGGTAACTAGCCTGCCATGTGTTGACCTTTATTGGACTGCTTTTTGCCATAATTAACCCTTACTGATTTGACATAAATTGACCCACTTCAATTCTTTTTTTGGACGAAACCCACTTCAATTCGTGACCAAAAAACATTTTGAGTTAGGGATAATTTTTTTATTGATTTATTTTTATTTTTGATAATTTTTTTTTTAAAATTTTAAATTCTGCTAAATCAAAAAAAATAAAAAATTCAGATAAAACAAAAATAAAATATATTTTTTATATTTTATAAATTTTTAAATTATTATTTAACAAAAATAAAATATATTTTTAATTTTTTTTATTTTTAAATTTATTTGTAAAAAAAATAAAAAAATAATCTTAATAAAAAAAAAAAAACTTTAAAGATATTTTGTACTTTTTTCTTTTTGACTTTCTCGTTGTTCAAAAAATAAAAGAAAAATAAATTGAGATTAAAATTTGAACAGTGTAACCAAAATGAAACTTCGCTGTTAAGAGCTACCAAATTGTACGGGAAAGGAAAGGAATAAAGTGAATGAAACTGCCCGATCATCTTGGATTCTGGGGTAAGAGAGCGAGAGAGAGAGAAGAGGAGATGTGGTCGAACAAGATGAGCAAGGAAATGATGGGAATACTGTCGAACAAGGTGAGCAAGGAGACACTGAATCCAGGCGATCACATCTACACCTGGAGGAATGCCTACCTCTACTCTCATCACGGTTCGTTTCTTCTAACTCTCTCTCTCTCTCTCTCTCTCTCTTTGTTTTTATGTTGCTTTTTCGTCTCAGCATGGAATTTCAGATCACTTACTTCTGTTGTACAATCAATTCAATTATGGGTTGCTTAATTGTTACTCCAACAACAAATGAAATTTCAGATCAAGTAGCTTATGCTTAATTGTTGTACTTAAAAAAAAAAAAAAATCGATTTTTTCTTAATCTTTGAGTGATTGTACGAATTTTGAGCCCCATTTTCTCTGTTATGGTTGTGTTTTTATTGATCCACTACACTTTCTTTTAATTGAATTTCAGTCAATTTGTAAATTGTTTGCTTTGTATTGAAATTCTGTTTGTATAACATTTTCCCTTATCTTTAATTCTTTTGAGATATGGGGCATGAAATTCCGAAATGCAGTTGTCTTAGATCACAATCAAATAGATGCATTTTGCTATCATCAATGTGATCTCTAAATACACACCCAAAAAAAAAAAAAACTTTTTTTTGAGTAGACAATGGTTGTGTAATCTTACATTTGCTTGTTTCTAAACTTTGAGACTTGTCAGATTGTTTGACGGAAGTCTTTGATTGGTTGAAAGACTATGAATGAAATTTTGTTGCCCACTTTTCTGTTGGAAATTGATTTTATCATTAGCATGTCTTCACTAGTTGTATTGGCTTACCTATTCATCACTTAATTCTACAAGAAATCTGTTGGAAATGGACCAATTTAATCCCATTACTATATGGCTCACAATATATGGTAGTTTGTGTTCCACTTCTGGTGCTACTGAATGCTGCTATGAGAAAATCTCTAACTCCAAATGAGATCCCCCTTCTCACGCCACTGCGCTATGCTTTATGTTGCATTGTCAGACCTTTTCACTAGCTCTTTGCTCTGAATTTTTGTGTGTGTGTGTGTGTGTGTGTGTGAGATAAGTAAGCAAAATATCATGAAAACGATACCGAAAGCTAGGGCGCAAGCTCTGTACTCACAAAGTATAAAAGAGGAACCCCTATACCCATTATATACCAATAGGGGTGTACAACTCTCCTGAAAAATCTACAACAGAAATGAAAGAAAAAGAGACTGCTCTCCCTAAGCCAAATAAAACAAGGCGAGGATTCCTTTCAATGAATGCTAAATTAATGGTTATGTTTATTTTGAGATTTTGTTTAATTAATGCTTTTTTTAAAAATATATTTTTTCCTATTTCCTTTTTGTAATCTGTCATAGATGTGGTTTTGTAAAGTGTTGCTTTTAGGTAATTTTATGGTTTTACAATGAGGAACCAGTCTTGATGAATATTCTTTGGAATTTGAAGAGGGTGATTTGAGTATGAAGGCATATGTTGATTAAAATTGTTATATTGAGAGATTGTGAGCAAGATCTCTTGTAACACCCATGATGTTTCTGGTAGGTACGATGCTAATAGGTTGTCTTAACTTGAGTTCTCTATAGAAACAACAACAACAACAGCTTAAAATGAAAGGGGGCTTCCTTAATTTCCCTATACATTAGAAGGAAATCAAGGATCATACTATTCAAGGGAATAAAATGTATCTTTATTTTGGGCTCTTGGGAAATAGAGTCAGAAGTGTTAATAAGGATATGGTCTTCGAATCTATGAATGGAAGCTGGGGAATGTTGTCCAATTACAATGATCCACTTTGTAAAGGATATGGATCCTATGGAATCAAGATATGCTGAATGTAATGTGCATTAGTACAAATGACCAGGCTATTCATTGTCATGTTAGAGCCAGAAGAAAATGGACTGCTAAGTTTCTGCCATGTATTGTGATAACGCTCCCCAAAACAGACTGGACATTGAAGCTATGGCTGGTCTGTGGGGCTCTGTTAAATGGACCAGGTACATGCACGACTGCAATGACTGACAAATGGTCAGGTGCTTCGAGAGATTGATAAACCTCTCATCAATGAGGCTTGGACCATGAAATGAGGCAGAATTCCTAACTGCAGGAATATCTGACCATAGCCCTATCTTGCTAAAGTGCTGTCTGCCCCTGTTAAGCAAAAGAAGCCCTTCAAATTTTTTTATTGTTGGGCTGACCACCCTGAATTCTTGAATCTTGTTGCCAGGGTTTGGAGAAATCATGTTCAGGGCATTCCCATGTTCTGTCTATGCCAGAAGTTGAAAATGCAAAGTTGAGTTGAAGAAGCTATGCCAATCTAACTATAGTGACATCACAAAAAAGGTGGACAGGAGGAAGTAAGATCTCAATTGGAAGCAGTCAAGAAAAGTCTTGATGGTAACCCTGAAGTCTTGGGTGTCTATTACTGATGCCAAGGAAATGCTAAGATCATTACTTATTTTCAGAACTTGCTAGGCCATAAGGGAGGTGGTACTATGGTATGCATAGAAGATATGAACTTGGACTATAGTGATCAATTAAATGATGCTCAGAAGAAACAAAACAAGGCCGTTACTGTTGAAGGGATTAGAGAAACCTTGTTCTCTCAAAGATGGGAAAGCTCATGGCCCCGATGACCATAATGTCATGTTCTTCAAGAAAGCTTGGCCTGTCAATTTAAGGATGTGCTTTCCTCTATTACATCTTTCCTTTATTTTTCTTAATTCTGGTGCTATCTTGAAAGAAATGAACTCTACTCTCACTGCTTGGTTCTTGGGGTCCCTAATCCAATGTTTTAAAAACCGGACCGGTGAGTGAACCGGAAAAATGATCGGGTGGACGGGTCACCGGTTCAACCGTCGGGTTGAACCGGAATCGAACCGTGACGTCATAAATATATTAAAATTATATTTAAATAAAAATATAAGTAATAAAATTATAAATTAAAAATTTTAATAATCTTAAATATTTCTCTTAATACTTTTTTTATTAAAAAATATATTTAAAAATATTATTAATTTTAATTTTGGAAGAAGAAATCAAATATTCAATATTCCCTCCATATGATTTTAATTCAAGTAATTTGATTGAAAGAAAAGCAAAAATTTTGGAGGGATATCAAAATTTTAAGTTTCCCTCCAATAAATTTGATTGAATCCCACATAGATTTCTTGAGTTTTTTTGGGAGAATTTTTTTCTTATAAATAGATAGAAGTTTTCACAATAATTTCAAGCTCTCAATGGGATTCCTCACAAGAGGAAACCCTTAAAAGAGAGTTTCCAACTAAATTTTTATTATATATATATATATATATATAATATATATATATATATATAAAGAAAGAAAGAAAGAAAAGAAAGAAAGAATAAAAAAAACAAAGAAAAAAATACAAAAAATCCGTTTTTAAAACCCGGTGAACCGGGACCGGGTCAACCGGTTCGGCGGTTCAACCGGCGGTTTTTCCGGTTCTCTCAAAATAGGCCGGTTTTCGACTATGACCGGTTTACTGGGTGTACCCGGACCGGAACCTCGACCGGTCGGCGGTTCAACCGGTTGAACCGGCCGGTCCGGTCCGGTTTTTAAAACCATGTCAGAGATAACAGAAGTGTCAGAACCAGTAATGATCATATCATCCACATATAGTAATAAGGCAACAAAAACAGTGGTGGTGTGGAGGAGAAACAAGGTAAAGTCTTGGTCACATGGATAAAACCCAAGCTCAGTAACAGTTGTCTAAAAGCGATCATACCAAGCATGCGGAGATTGCTTCAAACCATACAGAGCACGCTGAAGGCGACAAACAAGTCCAGAGGAATAAGGAAGACCAGGGGGAGGATGCATGTAAACCTCCTCAGTGAGATGGCCATTAAGAAAAGCATTCTTAACATCCATCTAATAAAGAGGCCAATAACGAACAGTAGCAACAGAGATTAAAGTACGAACAGTATTCATCTTGGCCACAGGGGCAAAGGTCTCCTCATAATCAATACCATACTCCTGTGAGAAACCTTTGGCAACCAAGCGAGCTTTGTAGCGCTCAAGAAAACCATCAGAGTGAGTCTTGACTTTGTAGACCCATTTGTAACCAACCAGGTTCTTACCAGCAGGCAAAGGAACCAACTCGCAAGTACTAGTGTTCTGTAAAACAGACAACTCATCCTCCATAGCTTGAATCTAATGGGGATCCTGACAAGCCTTCTTGTAAGACTGAGGTTCTGAAAAAGAATGAATAGTACATAAAAAAGTACGATAAGAAGCAGAAAAATATATATTAGACCAACCCAACCTGTTTAGAGGATGACTCAAGTAGGATATCGGTGTGTAACAGGATCAGAGTCGTCAGAAGCAGGAGGATTAGCTGTAGAAGTAGAGACAATTGGTGGAGGGAGAGCCTGGCGACGAGAATAAACTAACAACAGAGGAGGAGGAGGAGGAGGAGGCTGGGGAGAAGGAGGAGGAGGAAGGTCATGGGGAACAGAAGAAATGTGTTCATCAAGAGAAACCTCAGAAGGAAATAGATCAATGTGAACCAAATCCTCTTTGGAAACTGGAGCAGTGATAGGAGGAAGCTGAAAGTAAGATAGACGTTCGAGAGAAGAAACATGACGGGAGATGTAAAGATGACGGAAAATAGGGTTGTAACATTGATAGCCTTTCTGAGTAAGACTATAACCTAAAAAGACACATAGGACAGACTGGGCACTAAGTTTGGTCCGATCTTTACGGGGAAGAAGGACAAAACAAGCAGATCCAAACACACGAAGGATGGAATAATTGGGAAGTTGAGAGAACAGAGCCTCATAAGGAGACCGACCAGAAAGAAGGGGAGTAGGCATGCGGTTAAGAAGAAAAGCAGCAGTAAGAACTGCCTCTCTTCAAAACGAAGCTGGAACTGAGGCAGAGAGAAGAAGAGACCTAGCTGTCTCAAGGAGGTGACGGTGTTTATACTCGGATCGACCATTTTGGACAGGTGTATCAGTACAAGAAGTTTGGTGAATGGTACCCAAGTTGGCCAAATACTCACAGAACTCAGTTTTAAAATATTCCTCACCCAAGTCAGATCGTAATAATTTAATGGTAGCCCCAAACTATGTAGTGATCATAGACTGAAATGTACGATATATTT